TTCCTCTCAGTCAACATACCTCCTCATCACCATGAGTATGACACGCTAAATCCTACTACATCATCATGTTCTTTACCTACAGGTGAATATTATTGTGGTCTCATGCGCACTGATGGTAACATATGCACACTTACGTTCCCCACCATGAAAGCACTCAGATTACACCGGGCACGCGAACAGTCCATGCACGGCATGATTACGTTAGACTCCATCGTGTTAGAGGCAGTATGTCCATGGTGTTCTACACACTTCTCTACTCGTAAAATTGCACAAGATCACGCAAGGCGTAGTTGGCATTATGGTAGATGTATTGTCGACCAGAGCTTTATCCCCTCGCCTCCTATTGTATCGGACACAACATATTCATGCGCTATATGCAAGCTCTACGGCAACAATTACGAGTGCGACGACATATACGTGTACAATCATCATATCCGTACCAAGCATCTCTCTGGTCCAAGAAGATTGGAGTTCTCAGCATCCGATACTCTCAGCATTCTTCATCCTACTGGTCCCTCAGAGAGTGCTGATGGATCTCGGCCTAGCAGCAGGCGGCGCCAGACCGCCACAGAAGGAGCGACGCAAAGGAGCCAATCAACACGACCTGCAGGCCCTCGTTCTTCTCATAGCAAAGTTGACCCTCAGTACTGCTATGTCGTCGAGGATTCTCAGGGCCATCGTATTGGAAAACTATCAGGTGAGCGAGAGCTCCGAGTATTTCGTCCAGGGGAAGAATTCTACCGAGAGCTATGCGGAGGCTGCGAAGCAGTACGGGAAGGACCAGAAGCAACAGAAGATCGCAGCCCTCGCTCATCCTCACGTACACGTCTGGAATGCATGGATCATCGTGGCGAAGACGTCTCTTGGAGTGAAAGACCTCGACCCGCCGAAGGCCACCAGTCTTCAGCAGTACATCGACAAGATGAAACAAGGCAGCCCCGAGACGTCCAAATACCTTCACAATCTCCTGAAAGAAGTTCAATATGCACGATGCTGCAAGACCTACGACAGCAAGACCAAGCGCCTGGAGGTCAACGTCAAGCCCAACAGCGACAGCGAGAAGGTATTGCAGCAAATCCTGGTTCCGTTGTGGCTACGCGACAAAGCAGTGAAGCTCGAAGGAGTGGCGCCACCAGGGGACCTCGAGCGCAGGATTCAGCAGGCGATCGACGAGTTCGAGGCCCAGTGATACCCTCAGAGGCAGCTCGTGCCGTGCCTGACCCAAGGCGGGGGGCGCGGTGCGAGTGGGGACTGCCCGGCGGTGCGCCGTTAGTGACCCTCGCACCGTTGCTCCCCGGCCCCGCGCACGGCGCTGAGAGTTCAACTCTGCCTCTGGCTGGATGGAACAAAAACGTGCCTGACCCAGGCTCCCGACGAGTACAGCAGGCAGATCATCCTGCTGCGGACGCTCGTGCTGTGCCTGTCACATCAGCCGATCATCGAGTTCGGCACGCAGTGAGGCCTGCTGACGCTCGTGCTGTGCCTGATGTTCCAGGCCCCTGCCGCCAGCCGAGAGACAGATCCCCTCCTCGTCCCCCCCCTCCTCCTCCTCTTCCAGTTTTGAGTGTGTCCGACGGAGTTCGACTGTCGTCACGGTTTCAGGAGGCTCGTTTGAAACATGAGCGATCTAAATCGAGATCACAGGGATAAGACTTGTGGTGCACTTGTGCTACAGGTACGAGTGTACGGCGTTCGCGGCCCCTCACGCTTCGTGCTGATTCGGGGCTTGCGTGCACTGTCGTCGGTGGGCCTTGCTCGTGTCACCCCCTCTACAGTCGCGCGTCTCTGAGCGTATGAGCCCCTGTTTAAGTCCTTTCTGCCAGGCTGAATCGACAGGTCTTCGAACGATCGCTCTTGTGAGTTGTTATTATTATTATTACCTCCTCCTCCTCCTCCTCCTCCTCCTCCCTCCTCCTCCTCCTCCTCCTCCTCCTCCTCCTCCTCCTCCTCCTCCTCCTCCTCCTCCTCCTCCTCTAGGAGGAGGTAGGTCACTTGGGAGACGTCTCGGAGGCTTCTCTCCAGGAGAGCAGTGTTTTTTCCAGGAGGGAAAGAGACACACAGACACAACTAGTCGTCGACTCCCAGGAAAATATGGGAAAATCTGGGAAGTGGGGGGGAAGACAGAAACCCAACAAAGATTGGAAAATAGGCGGAATCCTTTTATTTGTGTGTATTTATGTGTGTGTGTGTGTCCTGGGGCCCCTTCATTTTTATTGTGCGCGTCATTGCGTTCAGCCTCATCGAAGTCTCCCATTTCGGGCGGGGCTAGGGCTAGCCCTTCCAGATCGCTCCAGAACGCTCTCAGAGCGTCCCTCTCAGAGCGTCCCGGAACGCTCTCAGAGGGCCGCGGCGCCCGAGACACCCTCCAGAGCCGCCAGATCTCAGAGATCCCCGATTTGTCCTCACCCAGTGTTGTCCTCGTCCTGGCGTCGTCTTGCCGGCGTCATCCTCTGCGGCGCCCTCCCTGTTCCCCTTGTAGCACCGCTGCGCCGTCAGTCCTGCCACGCCCCGGCCAGTTCTGCCCGGCGCCTCGCGCTCCGCGCCGCCGTGGGAGAGTTCGGCCCCACGGGAATTCGCAGGAGGCCTCTTCGGGCTTCCCAGAGCTTCCAGAGCTCCTTCGAGGGACCTTCCAGAATCGGGGGTGGACAGACCTCCTACCCTGACACGTCGATTCAGGAATTGGCCGTTTTCGGTTCGCGGGAGGGCGTCGCGGCCGTCATTTTTGCGGGTCCAGGTCCGTCGGTTTCGGTCCCAGGCCGTTTTCACTAAGGGGAGGTCTACTAAAGGGAGGTTTGTCCACCGCCGACAGAAGCGTATGTCGCTTCGCTGTCTGGGTTTTGAACCTCACTCAAGCAGTGGCGAAGCGTCCTGGCTCGCCTTTAGCCCTACCAAACGTTGTTCTAAGAACCTTTTGTGGTTTGCACGAAATGTTCTTAGAACATTTCTGGTTGAAACCGTTTTGTTTTAGCACATCGGATTAATGCTCTAAGAACCTTGTTTTTGTTATTAGATTATTTGGGGGTTCTAAGAACATTTCGTGGTAGGATTATAGGAATGCCGGGACGGTCGGTCCCTGCTCGAATCACAAGTTCCCGGGTAGTTTGTTGAGATCTGTTCAAGGTTTCAGAGAAGAGGCCAGCAGGCAGGGTTGGGTCATTTTCCTCTTCGCATCTCTTGGGGCAGCTTGGGGCATCTCGGGGGAACCAGGGTTCGAGCCAAACAGTGTTTTGGCAACTTCGTGGACCGTTTGCGTTTTGATTTCGTGTCGCAGCAGAGGCAGAACGAAGACGGAGCGAAGGAGAACGAAAACGAAGCCAAAGCGAAAGACACTGCTCAGCTTGAGCCATGGGGGGGACACCTCAGAGTCTCTGGGTGAGTCGCTGGGCCGCCTCGGACTCGTCCTTCGGGGTACTACCGCGGGGCCGCCTCCAGAGCGACCTCGGGCCGCCTGCGGGGGGGGGTGCCGCGAGCGGCGGCTGAGCGAGCAGCCTCCCGAGAGAGCTCGAGGGCGGTCTCCCCCAGGGACGGGCGGCCGCAAATCGGCGCAGAACCCTTGCCAGGCAGTCTGCACGCCCTTCGTTAAAAGTACGGTCAGCCCGTGTACACCTTAGGCGATGCTTAAGAAAACGTAAATTTTCGGCCAGAGTCTCGATTATTCTTAATGTTTCAATGCAAATCCTAAGATTTGAGTAGAAATGTTGGGTTTTTACGCAAGTTCTGAGACTATGAATTTCTTAACCCATGATTTCTTAAGCATTTCGCAGGGTGTAGTAAGGATGCGCGGTAAGGATGCAAGGGCCCTGGAAGGCCATGTCGACACTTTGCGAGCGGGGCGCGGCCAGCGAAAGCGGCCAAGGACGGGCCGAAAGGGAAGGATGCGAAGGGGTGACCTTGGAAAGTGGGTCATCCTTGCTACGCGGATTGACTGTAGGTGCTTCTCGACTCCCAGATCGCAATCTACCTTGGCCGTCTTCCTACTTCCAGAGTCGAGCGGCTTTCCCTCTTCCCTCCTCAGGGGGCGGGCGGACGCCGAATCTGCCTCCAACGCCTTCCTGTTTCATGTTGCTACCCCCGTCCTCCAACCGGCGTGCACATCCAGCCGAACGCTCCACATCGTGCAGACGCGGGGGCGGACGCCACACCCCACGCTGCAACAAAAACACCGTCGGCGCACGGCGCGCGATCCGCCGACGAAGATCGCGACGCAGCGACTTACGGCAGGTGCTGTGCCCGTCTGGATCAACGGCACCGTAACGGGTACTTACTAACGGGTACTTTGAATTTTTGCCGAAAGTTGCCACTTTAGGGCCTTTCTCTTGCATTGCAGCTTTGCCCACATCGGGAAGGGCTGGGTTCGCTGGGTCACTGGCCAAAGTACCCGTTAGTGGAGTCCCCGTTTGAGGGGCGCTGACTGGAGGCGCGCGATTGCCCGCGCGTGCGGGCGCACCCGTCACTCTGCCGTGAGGCCTATTGGCGAATGTTCGCAGGCGTGGTTTTCGGCTTTGCCGGCCTTCCGTCAGGCGGCATCGCGGCGCGAAAGCCAGCACCCAAGCATCTTGTGAAAGCCGTGGGTCCGGCAAGGTGCCAGCTCTTTCCTTCGGCTGCTGTTTCGTACCCCTTGCACCCCACGTCTTGTTGCGCCGTGGCGGCATATGATGTCCATTCGTGCTGGCAGGCCATAATTACGCAGCTCTCCCCATCAACAAGAGCAAGAACGCGGCGAGGCCCAAGTAACAATCAATACATCGCTCCACACTCAGCTTTCCTCCTCCTCCTCCTCCTTGCCTTTTTTTCGTGGGCAGGTCGTGCAGCCTGCAAATCTTTCACACAAGGCAAGCATCTCCAGCACATCAAGAGGAAGAAGAACGCGAACTTGTTGCCCTCCCCATCAACATCATAACTGGTGCCCTGCGAGCATTGCAGTGATCCTCCTCTCCTCCTCTCATCACCCAGATGCCGTATCGCTCCATCGCCGTTTCGTCCACCTCGCTCCCCCGGAGGTCGCATTCCGGCTGCTCCGCTGCAGGAGGTGCTCCGTGCTGTTCGACGTCGGCAGGGCGCAGTATTCCCAGGGCGCCGGCGATTTCTGGTGCCCGAGCTGCAGGTTCCAGGCACGTACGGGGATGAGGGGAGTGTCTGCGAGGAACGACAGGAGGAATCACAGGAGGAGGAGGGGTGGAGGAGGGGGGAGGCAGGACGCAGAAGAGCAGGAGGAGGACGAGTGGCCATACAGGGTGGGTCAGTGTTGATCCGGACGAGCAGGGGGAGGAGGAGGAGGAGGAGGAGGAGGAGGAGGAGGAGGAGGAGGCAAAAAGGGGGAGTACGCTTGCCATCTTCTTGACGCTGCGATTCCAGTCGATGCAAGTTTGCCTGACGCAAGCGAAGGAGTGGGGGAGGAGGAGGAGGAGGAGAGGAGGAGGAGGAGGAGGAGAGGAGGAACCAGAGGAGGAAATGGAGGAGGAGGAGGAGGAACTGGAGGAGGAGGAGGAGAAGCCCAACAGGCCCCCAAGAGGGCCCCAGGAGGTCCAAAAGGGGGGTGGCCAGAAAGGCCCAGAAGACTCCCAAGAGCTTCAAACATGCCTCCAAGCTGCCCCCATGAAAGGCTTTCGGGCCGGACCTTCCCCCAAAAAAGGTACCCACGATTCTCGACCGTGCTTCCCACCAGCAGCCCGCCAAGAAGCCTCTCTGGAAGCACGGACAGTGACTCCAAAACGACAGTTTTTGAGGCATGGCCCCAAGAGCCCCAAGCCGAGGAGGAGGAGGAGGAGGAGGAGGAGGAGGAGGAGGAGGAGGGGGAGGAGGAGGAGGGGGAGGAGGAGGAGAGGGGGAGGAGGAGGAGGAGGAGGAGGAGGAGGAGGAGGAGGAGGAGGAGGAGGAGGAGGAGGAGGAGGAGGAGCAACCAGAGGAGCAGGACCCCCAGACCCTCGATGTCAGGATGTGTGCACAACATGACCCCGAGAGGTCCGGGCCCCTTCCCGGGGACCTGCTCGTCACCCGGAGCCGCTTTTGGACGACGCTCGGGGGGCCCCCAGAAGGCCAAAAGGCCGTCCGTCGTGACTTTATTCACGACGCGAGGGTGTCTGGGAATTGTGGAGGAGAAGGATGCGGAGGAGGAGGAGGAGGAGGAGGAGGAGGAGGAGGAGGAGGAGGAGGAGGAGGAGGGGAGGAGCCAGACGAGCAGGACCCTGCCCTGTTCCCGCTCCGCCTCTCAGGCCATGGACCCCTTCAACGAGGTCCCGGCCGACGGCGGCGTCCTGCACTGCGCCCTGGTGGACGGCGCACGCGTGCAGCTGGCTCTGGACCTGCCGCGGCTCGGCCTGTGGCGAGAGGAGGGCGAGTCCGTGGAGGCGGCTGCGCGCGAGAGCGGCAGCCCGAGACATGCTCGCGTCGCGAAAAATACACGATCCCGAGGGATCTTGGCCGTTTTCGGCATCTTGCGGCCCTCGCTGGGCCCCAGGATTGTCACAAAACGACTCGCGATGAAAAAGCCGTCACCAGGGAAAGCACATCGGGACTTCATAGGGACTCCGTATCGGGGGCGGCCAAGCGGGGGTGATGATTAGGGGGGGGTGGATATCATGGCGGGGGCCATGATATCTCTCCTGATTTCATGGCCCCGTCTTCTTTTCTTTTGTCATTAGTGTCATTCGCATTATACGGTTATAAACTATTTTATTAACACTGATATTCGGATTCCTCGCATTCTTCGTATTATTGGTATGTTAAATAGTACGATTAGTACTGAGTACAGTTTTCGCATTAGTGTTGATATTAGTCTTAGTATGCGTGTTACTATTCTTCTTATACGATATTAGAAGTGGCATCGCTCTCATTGGTATCATTATTGTGTGCTTTCTGCTTCGGTGCGTCCCCTGGCCCCCCTCTCGTCCGCGCACACGCCCACGGCCACGATCTGCGCGCCCCCCTCTCGGACACCCCTCTCTCGGACGCACCCGACCGTACTGACGACAGCTGGACACCGCGCGTCTGGGGAGAGCGGCCCCTTCGCCAGCGTGCCCCTCCCTCCCCAGGGTTTTGTCCGAGGTCCTCGTCGGCTCTGTTCCTATCGGAGGTTGACAGACCTCCTGCCCTGACACGTCGATGAGCGAATTGGCCGTTTTCGGTTCGCGAGAGGGCGTCGCGGCCGTCATTTTTGCGGGTCCAGGTCCGTCGGTTTCGGTCCGAGGCCGTTCTCATTAAAAGGTGGTTTACTGAAGGGAGGTTTGTCCACCGCCGATCCCAGGAGTTGCCCTGCCTCGTCTTGGACCGAACGTATATCGGCAGATGGCCAAGTAGCTCCCAACAGCGCCAAGTGGCGCCAAAAAGCGCTCAAGCAGTGCTCACAACAGCGACCACAACAGCGCGATATGAGGGGGGTGCGTTATCAAGGGCGCCCTCGAGGGCGCGAAGTTATTCGCGCTTCGCGGTTCGGCTCCGATTCCTTCTCGTCCTCCTCTTCTCCCCTGGGAGGCGGCGCGAGAGGGCGAAGTTATTCGCACTTCGCGCTTCGCGCAGCGCGAAGCGCGAAGTTGGGAGCCCTTAGTTATGTCCGCTCTGCGCGCCTTCGCCTGAGCGCCCCTCCTTCGTCAGGAAGGGTCCAGTCCGCGTCGGTTCGGGCCAGTTCGGAGGCGGGCCGGTTCGGTTGCGCTGGTTCGGTTTCGGTGGCGGGCGTGTTCGGGCCCGTTCGGTTTTTCGGTACAGTCGTTCGGGGCGGTTCGGCCAGATCGGTTCGGACCCCACCAGGGCCCACCGGTTTGGCCGTTCGGGTTGGTTTCGGCCCACCAGGTCGGTTCGGACTGGCTGGTCCAGTTCCGACCAGGTCGGTCCGGGTTCCCGTTCGGCTGGCTTGATTGCAGAAGCTCCCGGCTCATGGCTACCAGTTCAGCGCAGAGCCACCGGGTTTCTATCCTTGAGGTTCTCGGGTATTCTCGTCGGTGCCTGGAGGCGTTCCTGCCTCGGGATGCATCGCGGCAGCCGCGCCTCGGCCAGGGTGCCCGGGTCGTCCCGAGCGGCCGCCGCAGACCCGAGGCAGGACCCGAGAGCCGGGCGGCCCTTCGCTGGAGAGCGACCTCTTGGCGCGGGCCCACCCGTCCTCCTCCTCCTCCTCCTCCTCTTCCTCCGCATCCTCATCCTCATCCTCATCCTCATCATCATCATCATCATCATCATCATCATCATCATCATCATCATCATCATCAGCATCAGCATCAGCATCAGCATCAGCATCAGCATCAGCATCATCATCCCTCCTCCTCCTCCTCCTCCTCCACCTCCTCCTCCTCCTCCCCCTTCCCGTCCTCGTCCTCGTCCGTCCCTCCTCACCCGATCGCCGACCGCGATGCGACAGCATCGGCCCGGCTGCGCGCCTGCCCCCTCGTCTCGCGCCCCCCTCGCGCCGCGCACCAAGGGCCCTTCCTGCCCAAGGTCGCTCCCGCGTGTGCCATCCGATCGACACGACCGCAGTGGGCACGGAGAGAGTGGGGACGACGACCGTCAGAGCCCCGAATCATCAAGGGTAACTCGGGTCAGGGATAACTCGGGCGCCCAAGACCAGCAGCCGCTCGCTCCTGTCCACTGTGAACCGGGTTCGCGGCCTGCGCCGCCGCGAGCGACACCCGTTTGAGAAACGAGCTCGCCCGCACAAGAGCAGCGGCCGCGGTGGATTTTGGGGGCGAGATTTGCTGCTGGGCATCTCGTACCGTTTCCTTCCGTACCCACTGCCACTCCGAGAGGCGCGGATGCTCCTGGTGGACAGCGCGTCGCTGCACCAGGTCCTCGGAGACCGGCAGCCCACTCCGCGCTCGGTAGAGCTTCGTGTTGCCAGGGCCGGCCTTGGCCCAGGGTGGCCCCTGCTTTCTCAGGGAGGCCCAGATGGCCACTCACGATCAGGGGCATTGACAGGTGGAGACAGGTTCAGGGGGGGATGCATCGACCCCCAATCGCCCATTGATCGTCGATAGCCGATAAGGGTCTGATGGTCCCACCTCGCCCAGGAACGTGCGGATGGCAATCGGGGACCTATCGCTGATCCATTGATCGCACATCGCCTACTCCAGGCCGATGTTCCCCCCCTCCTATGCCAGTTCCCCCCCCATCGTTGCCCCTCACGCGAGGCCCAGAGGGCGTGGGGAGCCCCAGAAGGGTGCGAAAAGCTGGGGGGGCCCTGTGGCCAGGAAGACCTCTTGCGACCTCAGGCAGTCGGTGGAGAGCCCGGGGGAGAAGTGAGAAGGGGCGGGCATTCCTGAAGGTTCGGAAGTCCCCCAGCCTTCTGAGAAGACTCCAAAGCCGTCCCTGAAGGCACGGAAAACCTCTCAGAGGACCAGATGGTTTCTGAGAAGCCCCGCCGCCTTCCGAGACGGCCTTCTCCTTCTACAATTACTCAATATGAATACTACTCTTCTCCCCTGGTGACGTCCGGGAAAGTCCAGCACCCCTCCGCGTACTATAGTTTTTTACACAGGATTCCCCGGAGTTCGGTTTTCGCTTGGATTGTTTGTCAAAATGCTGCTCTCGCTGAAGCGCTGGCCTCATTTTCGGGCTACTGCTCGTTCCGAATCGTGTTCCCGCTGCAGCACTGGCATCATTGATATTTCCAGCGCCATGTCACGGCATGATTTTCGGTCCTTCCAACTAAGCCCTCAAATCTAGAAAATTGCCCTCCGAGAAAACCATGGGAAGTGATTACACATTCGGTGTCGCTTCGTTGATCGTTTGGGCCGTAGAACCCCCCTTCTTTAAAGAACGATCCGGCTGGAAAGCACCGATCCGACTTGACCCTTTGAGGGGTTCAGGGGTCCAGCGTGAGCCGATTGTTCAAGGAAGCCAGACCATCGAGCCTGGCAGCCCGCCGCACTATTCCCTGACATCCGTCCTCGCCCGCCGCGCATTCCCCCGCTATCGCCGCCGTCATCGTTTGCGTCGTTGTCGCCGTCGGCAATTTCTGTGCGTTCCCTGGAGTTTCTGGAAGTCGTCGGGCCATCATGTGTTGCGATGTTACGCTTTGTGATGCAATGATACATTACGCAATGCCAAGCCATGCTATGACATGCTCTGCTCTGCCGCGCTCTTCTACGCCATGCCACGCCGTGCTTCACCATGCATCGCAAACCCTCTCGGGATCATGGCCTTGCTCGGCATCAGCCAAGCCTGTGCGCACAAAGAGGAGATCTGCGCCATGGTAAGGGTTGGGAGGGAGGGCTCTGACGAAAGATACGGCGCGAGCGCGCACTCAGCTTGGATTTCCCCCCCGGCTCGCCGCCCAAACAGGGAGCGCGGGCTCTCCCCCTCCCCCCGACGGGGATCAACTTCGCACCGTCGGCGCGCCGCGCCGTGTCTTTCCGGAGGGACAGAAGCACAAGCACTAAGAATCGCCGATTCCCAGGAGAACAAGGGCGCCCTCGAGGGCGCGAAGTTATTCGCGCTTCGCGCTTCGCGGTTCGGCTCCGATTCCTCCTCGTCCTCCTCTTCTCCCCTGGGAGGCGGCGCGAGAGGGCGAAGTTATTCGCACTTCGCGCTTCGCGCAGCGCGAAGCGCGAAGCTGGGAGCCCTTAAAATATGGGAGACATGGGGGGAAAACGGAAGTCCAGAAAAGGTGGCGGAGCTTCGGATCTGCGTCTGTTTTTTGCGTGCCCCTGGGCCCCTTCGGTGCTGGAACGCCTGTCGCGCGCGGTGGTTGTCCGCGGCGGGGGTCCGTCTGAGGCTGCCGGCGGGGGGAGGGGCGCCCTCCCGGCGCTTTTCGAGCAGCTCGGAGCAACCCTGCACATCGAAGAGCAAACAATGGCATACATCAAGCAGTGGCGAAGCGTCCTGGCTCGCCTGTAGCCCTACCAAACAATGTTCTAAGAACCTTTTGCGGTTTCCACGACATGTTCTCAGAACATTTCTGGCGGAGTCTGTCTTGCTTTATCACATCGGGTTTATGTTATGAGAACATTGTTTTTGTTATTAGAACTTGTTCTGGTTCTAAGGAAAGTTTCTGGTAGGGCTATAGGAATGCTGGGACGGTCGGCCCCTGCTCGATTTCCCAAGGGTGCCCTTGCATCTTTGCCGCCTCGGTCCGTCCTTGGCCGCTTTCGCTGGCCGCGCCCCACCCGCAGAGTGTTGGCATGGCCCTTCCGGGCCCTGGCATCCTCATCGTGCGTCCCTCTCGTACGGGTTGATGGCTGACGGCCCTCGCGGACTTTTTGGGGTTTTGCGTTGGGCCCCCTTGGCGCACTCCGCGCGCCGGGGAGGGGGGTCCAGCTCATATCCCAGAAATCCAGGCAGACCCTGGCAGACCGTGTAAAGCTTATAAGTTGTGCCCGCTGCTGTCCTCCGAGCGCAGCCACCGGCCCTGGCCCCTGGCCCCTCCGCCTGCGCACGGCTGCCCCGCGTCGCAAGGCCAGGGAGGTCCACCCCAGGGACGGACCCGGCCAGAGCGCGTGGCCGTGCGCGGCGCAGGCTCGGCCCCACAGGTCTGGCCGAGGGAGGTCACGGCCGAGGCCAACGGGCGCGCGCTCTTCCACATACGCCCGCCCGGGCCCGAGCGCCGGCGCCGGGACCTGCCGCAGAACGTGACCGCGGGCCTGAGGCCCGGCCAGAACACGCTGGAGTTCCGCCTCGAGGACGACGGGCTCCTCGGCGGCTTCGCCCTCGCCCTCGTGCGCGTGGCGCCGCGCAGCGTCCGCCAGCTGTGCTGCCAGGTGGTGGCCGCCAGGCGGCCGCAGGCCTCGTGCCGCGCCCACCTCCTCGCGCTGCGGGCCGGCGGCGCTGGCGCAGAGGACTCGAGGGGGTTGCTGAAGGTATCCCTGGGCCAAGCTGCCCCCAGCGTCTCGCTCGATTTCGGAGCCCCTGGGGCTCTCCGCCGATCGACGGAGAAGAGATGGAATGAGCGTACACTTCTGGAGAATTCCGCGCGGATCTCTTGGATGGGCGTTGGACCCCCTGGTGCGCTCCAAGGGGGCGCCAGCGGCGATCCGGGAGATCCGCGCGGAGCTCCAAAGTTCCCGAAGAAGTGCTTGCACTCGGTGTTTCTGATCCCCCCGAGGACTTGGGTCAGGTCCAGCGTGGATTCTCCACGTCCCGTTGCTGCCTCGTTGCCGCCTCGTGCGGCAGGTTGGTCTGGCGAGGCTCCGCCACGTTGGCTCCTCGTTGTTCCGCCCCGTTGCCGCCCGGTCCGGCGAGGTGCCGCCACATTTGTGCTCCGCTGCCGCCCGTGGACCCACCTCGTTGCCGGCTCGTGCGTTGGGTGGGTCTAGCTAGCGAGGCCTCGTCACGTTGCCGCCCGTTGCCGACTCGTTGCCGCCGCGTGTGCCGGTGGGGTCTGGCGGGGTCTCGCCACGTTGCCGCCTCGTTGCCGCCTCGTGCGCGGAGAGGTTTTGGCGGGGTTTCGCCACGGTGCCTCCTGGCTGCCGCAGCGTGCGCTGTGCGGGTCTGGCGAGGTTTCGCCCCATTGCCGCCCACTGCTGCCTCGTTGCCACCTCGTGCGCTGGGTGGGGGTCAGGCGAGGTCTCGCCACGTTGCCGCCCGTTGCCGCCTCGTTGCCGCCTCGCTGCTCGTTGCCGCCTCGTGCGCTTGGTGGGTCTGGCGAGGTTTCGCCACGCTGCCACCCGTTGCCGCCGCGAGCTTGCACCGCGCATGCTGCACCACAGGAGTAGCTCACACATCCACAGTGCAATACCTACTGATTGGGTTCTACGCTGGCTGACATTCGTGTTGCTTTGTGTGTGGCTTTTCGTTCCTCTCAGGACGGCGTCGAGTGCCTGGGCTCGGACCGTCTGAAGCTGCGGTGCCCCATCACGCTGGAGCGCGTCAGGGAGCCCGTGAGAGGCCCGGGGTCGGGCGAAAGTAAGAGTAGGAGACGGTACCGATTCTGTAACCTCTTTTAAGTTTCGTGAGGGGGCGCAGGAGTCGTCGGCAGTCTGAGAGGCTCCGCCGACTCCCCACTTGGTACACAACGAGCTTGCCGCAGGCGCCGAATTCTCGTCAAGGCAATGTGGGTGGGTCGCGGACGGGTCGCGGGGTGGGGGGGGGGATCGCGGGTGAGTCGCGGGTTGGATCGCGTGGTGGGTCGCGGGGTAGGTTGCGTGTGGGTCGCGCATGGGTCGCGGGCGGGTCGCGGGCAAGGACGACGACAAGAGCAACAACCATTTTAAGATTGTTCGCTCCTATCTGCTCGCGTGCCATTCAACACGTGTATCCCGAACCTTGGGCACCCGCCCTCTTCGTTTTCGGTCATACCTTTTTGGGGACAGATCTTCCTTACACATCTGCCACGTATGTTTAGCGCAGCCCCTAAAACATAGGAAGAGAGGACGGATGGAAGGGGGAGAGAGAAGGATGCAGCACGAGAGAGATTAGCAGGAGGGGAGCTTAGAGCAGAAAGCACGTGGCAGAACCAGCTGGGCAGATCCGGCGGGTAGACCCTAACGGGCGGGTCGAGTAAGGCGGGCGCAGGCGGCCAGTTCGTGCAGGCGGGTTGCGGAAGCGTGAGTCTTGCGCGAATCGCGAGGAGGTTTCGAGCGATGGCGCGATTCCCAGGTAAATCGCGAGAACGGCCAGAGCGAGAGCGTGATTCCCGAGTGTCGAGGGCACGGGGGTTCAATAGATGGCGAGGAACTCCCGCGCGAGAGCGCGAGCCTCTCGGGCCGCTCGACGTGTGTCGTGTTCGGGCTCTCGCGTGGGCACCCTCTTGGAGCCGTTCGGGGGGCTCGTTGGGCCGTCTGGGAGGCTTCCAGGGTCCTCTTGGGGCCCTCTTGGGTCGTCTTTGGGCCGTCTTGGGAACCTCTTGCGGCTCCTGCTCTGGCCACGGGGCGGTCGCCCGTCGTGTGGCCAGTGCCTCCTAGCCCACAGGGCTGCTGGAGGTATTCTTTCGGTCAGTGAGGTCTCCCTCACTTCCAGCAGTGGTTTCCCAGCCACCATTGCGGTGCTTTTTTCACCAAGGCTGTGCGGGCGTTGAGCTCAAAGAAAAACCTCTTGCGCCGATTTTGGTGGCATTTTGGGCCGTCTTGGGGCGTCGGGAATCCGAAAGGGCGGGAACGCCAGAATGTTTCAAAAAACCCTGAGAAAAATAGTTGAATGTTGCTTGTTAGGGGCCCCTCTTGTTGTGCTCTTGACGGCCTCTTCAAGCGTCTTGGAAGCCGCTTGGGCTGTCAGGAGGCCATCTTTGGCGTCTTGGACGGATTGTTCGGAGATTCGGGTGCCCTCTTGGACCGTCTTGGGGGTCTCTTGGGCTGTCTTGGGACCTTATTGGGCCCCATGCTCCCCCGGGCGGATGGCATTCTGACCCGGGACCCCCCCAGGACACCTTTCCCGGGGGGGAGGGATCAAGAGGAAGGGGGCTTCCCGTCGACTCAACTACGACGTTGCTCAATCTCGGTTTGGTTTCCGCTGTGGGTGGCTCGCTTGAGGAGGAGAGCCCAGTGAAAATGGGGAGCCGCGACGGGCCTAGGGAAAGGAGCGTCAAACGCGACGACGACGACGACGACGACGACGACGACGACAACGACGACAACGACATCGAGTCAAACAGAACAGCGTCTTCCACACGCCGACAGGGTCGGCGGATGTTTCACAAAGGGCTCCCCCAGAGGTGCGGACCCACTCTTCGGGTCCGACCTCTTGCCCTGAGTCGTCCTCTGATGGTCCCAGGCGCGGCAAGGGCCCCCCAGGAGCAGAACACGGTCGAACACTTCTTGTCGTGATGCTCTTGCTTGTTCGCCCAGCCCAAGAGGCGCGCGATGCCGCCACCTGCAGTGTTTCGGGCTGCGCGCCTTTTGCAGGAGCAACCAAGGCGCGCCCAGGGTGGGCCAGCAGCAGGAACAGGACCAGGGCTGGGAGCAGAAGGAGGAGGAGGAGGAGGAGGAGGAGGTGGCGGCGGCGTCGAGTGAGGAGACGATTGGGAATGGAGAGGAGAGATGGTGATCAAGATGGTGTTGCTGATGCTGATGCTGATGATGATTATTATTAGTATGAGGATGAGGATGACGATGACGATGACGATGACGATGACGATGACGATGACGATGACGATGACCGATGATGACTATGACAATGGCGATGACGATGGCTATGACAATGGCGACGTTGACGACGACGACGACAACGACGACGACGACGATGATGATGATGATGATGATGATGATGATGATGATGATGAGGAGGAGGAGGAGGAGGAGGATGGTGGTGGTGGTGATGAGCATGAGTATGATCATGATCATGATCATGGTGGAGACGACGATGATGATGATGATAGTGATTATGGTGATGCTGTTGGTGATGACGGTGATGATGGTGGTGATTATGATGGTAATGGTGATGGTGATGGTGTTGGCGATGATGGTGATTGTGATGGTGATGGTGATGATGGTCATGACGGCGGTGATGGTGGGGTGGTGGTAATGGTGATGCTAATGATGATGATGATGATAATGATGACGATAATGATGATGATGATGGTGATGGTTGCCGTGGTGATCATGATGATGATGGTGGTGATGATTGGTGGTGGTGATTGATGATGATGGTGGTGCTAATCACGACTATGGTGATGACGGTAACAGGGATGATGGCGATGATGATGTTGATGATGATGACGATGATGATGATGATGGTGTTGTTGGGTGTGATGATCGGGGGTGGTAAGTGATGATTCTGATGATGGTGATGTTGACGGTAGGTGGTGATGCTGATGCTGTTGCAAACGTTGGTGGTTGTGATGGCGATGGTGACGATGACGACGACAACGACGATGATGACGTCGATGACGATGATGATGAGTATGTTGATGCTGATGGTGGTGTTGGTGATGATAGTGAATGATAGTATTGATGGTCACGATGATGATGGTGGGCAGTGATGAAGGTGATGATCACGACGCTGATGTTGATGATCATGACGTCGACGACGATGATAACGATGATGATGACGATTATGATGGTGAGGAGGAGGAGAAGGGAGCGGATGGTGAGCAGGAGGACGAACAGCGGTGATCGGAGTGAGGAGGAAGATGATGAGAAGGAGGAGCAAGAGAAACATCAATCGTGAGAGGACGTGAAGGAGGAGGAGGAGGAGGAGGAGGACCTCCCCCCGCCCCGATGCTGTGTGTTGTGTGTGTCTGTGTCTGTGCTAATGCCTGTGTCAGTGTGTGTGTGTGTCTGTGTCTGTGGGTGCGTCTTTGTCTGTCTCTGTGTGTCTGTGTCGGTGTGTCTCTGTGTCTCTGTGTCTGTGTGTCTGTGTGTCTGTGTGTGTGGGGGGCGTGTGATGTGTGTGTGTGCTATCGTGTGTGTGTTGTGTGTGTTGTGTGTGTGGTGGGTATGGTGTGTGTTGTGTGTTGTGTGTTGTGTGTTGTGCGTGTTGTGTGTCTGTGTGTGTGTGTGTCTGTGTCTGTGTCTGTGTAGCAGTATGTGTGTGTGTGTCTGTGTGTCTGTCTGTTTGCCTGGCTGCCTGTCTTCCTGTCTGCCTGTCTGCCTGCCTGTCTGTCTGTCTGTGTCAGTCTGTCAGTCTGTCTCAGTCAGTCAGTCTGTCTGCCCGTCTGTCTGTGTCTGTGTCTGTGTGTGTGACTGTCTGCGCATGTCTGCGTGTGCTTGTTTTCGGCAGAGCCCGCAGGCATGTCGGCCTTCAACAAGCGGTGGGAGTGCCCTCTGTGCGGCGGCGGGGTGAGGCCCCACGGCCTGGAGGAGGAGGAGGAGGAGGAGGAGGAGGAGAAGGAAGAAGAAGAAGAAGAGGACGCGTATCTGGAGGACAAGAAGAGGAGTAGTAATAATAATCAGAATAGTAAGAAGACGAAAAGAAGGAGAAATAAAACAAGGGGGGAGTCTCCCTCTCACTTTCAGGTGCGCATCCTCCTGTGCTGGACCTCTTCCTCGTCTTCCCGCCCCCCCTCTTACCTGCTCGCTTTCCCTCCTCTGCTCCCCGTCCCTTTCTATCCCGCCCCCTCGCCCTCCTGTGCAACGGGGGAGTGCAAAGGAGAGGGGTGAGGAGGAGACGGGGGAGGAGGCAGGGAAGGAGAAGGGGGTTGGGGAGAGGAGGTCGATCAGCAGCAGCAGGCGCAGCAGGCAGCAGCGGGGGCAATGGAGGGGACTCGGGAGAGGGAGGACTGGCAGCGGCCGGTGCAGGGAGCTGCCGATACTGAGCCACCCACGGGGGGCATCGCAGCATGCTCAACACGACGTTCAAGCAGGAGCATCTGCCGTGGCTTCGCTCGGACGTGTGCATTTTTTCGGCGAGGGTCAACGAGGAGCATCCTGGTTCATCTGGGAAAAAACACGCACGTGACAAGCAAAAAATCCCAGGGAATGGGACGCCCGGGCGATGACCGGCCGCTGCCGCGCGTGCCCGCCGAGCTGCACGCCTGGCCTCCGCCGGCCCCGGCGCTGCTGCTCCTCCGGGCGCCCTCGGCCTCCGCGCCGGGAGCCCATGGCCGCAGGCGGCGATTCCCCGCCTGCTCCTTCCGACGGTCAGGGACCGCCGCCAGTGCTGGCGAAACGAGCGTCCTCTGAGGGGTTCGCCGCCCCTCAGTTGTACCAAACCCTCACCTCTGGTTCGCCTCTCTCTCTCCAGTGGTGATGAAGCTTTCAGGGGTTGGAACAAAAAAAAAAAAGCCGCCAGTGCTGGCCCATCACGCTTCGGCGTGACACGCTGTCCCCGTCCCAGTCCCCGAGCGTCAGCGTCTGAGCCGTCCGACAAGGCCCGCCGCCGACGGACCGTGCCCCCGGCGTGCTGCTGGGACTGCTGCTCCAGCGCTGAGCCTGCTGCTGAAGCTGATCTTGCCACGTCTCGAAACCATCCCAGTTCTTCCGGAGCTGGTGGTTGCACTCCTAGTCGTCCCCCGGCCCCGGCTGCGCGAGGCGCCGCTCCGGCAACTCCTCCATGTGCTCGTGCTGCTCCAGCTGCTTGTCGAGCTTCCCCTGCTTCCGTGCGATCTCCATCTTGGGGAAATGATTTGCGCGGTCCCAGATCGCGGGGGGTGCCTTGTCCACACCCTCCTCCACCTGGCCGCCAACCCCGCCAGCCCCGCGTCAATGTGGACGTTCTTGTTCCTCATCTCTGTGAGCGCTCCCAGCCTGCTGGTCAGGTCGGCACTTCGAGCACCTCGCTCTCGTGTGGCGCCATCGTCTGCGTCGCGTCACGGTTGGATTCCGCGGCACCGGCTGTTGATCCGACCGCGCCCAGGACCGCCTCCACGGCGGTGATCGGCGTCATGAGCTGCTGCTCATTGGGCGCGAGCTATCTGACGCCGCGCGCCGCTGCAGCCACACAGCTGCACGTTTGCTCGAGCATGAAGTCTAGCACCTGGGGGCCCACGATCGCGCCTGCCGCTGCCGGGGCGGCTGAGGGCAGCGACGGCGCGGCGCCTTGAGTGCCCCCCACCTTCGGAGGTGGTCCGCGGCCCTGCACCCTCACAGAAGCGCTGCTCAGCCGAATGGCTTGAGCCAAAACGGCTTGAGCCGAATGGCTGCGGGGCAAGTGGAGGCAAGCGAGGTCCTGGAGGAGAACGATGAGGAGGAAGGAAGAGGAGGAGAAGGGATGAAGAGTAGGAGGGCGAGGCCTGGAGGAAGGAGGAGGAGGAGAAGGAGGAGGTCCAGTGCCAACCCAAGACGCATAAACGATGTTGCAATCAATATCCCTCCAGAGGATGTATGTTCATTGCGTGGAGTGCCCCATCGGAAGACAGCCGTCTGAGAGTCTTCAATCATGCCAATACATAATCCCTGGCATTTTAACGCCGCAGATCAACGTGACTGGTGCGTCCTGGCAATCCTAAATCGCGCCAGAACACAACCCCTCGGATTTGAACAACGCGAATTAACGTGACCGTTGCATCCAGACAATCCGAAATGTGCCAGAAGACCGTTCCTGGGACCTCCAACAGACAAATATGTTACACTGGTGAAAACAAATGTGCGCGCCGCTAAGGCGAGAGCTACATTTTGTAGAGGATTTGCCTTTCATCCTTGAAGTTGCTGAGCACTTCATTCCCTACCTAGACTCTGCCTAGAAGGGTTCTTACTTTAGAGCTTAAAGGGCCAGGCAGTGGAAATCGCCCTTGGCGGTTCCCCCAGGATCCGCCCCGCGGTTCCCCCAGTTACGTCCCCTTACCTTAGCGTTGCTTATCTCATCTTAGCTTAGCTTATTTCATCTTAGCTTAGCTTGGCTTCATATTAGCTCAGGTTTATTTTAGTTTAGCTTACCTTCATCTTAGCTTCGCTGAGCTTTAGCATAGCAGAGCACAGCAGAGCATAGTATAGCGTAACACAGCATAGCGCAGCACAGCATGTCATAGCATAGCCCAGCATAGCATAGCATAGCGCAGCATAGCATAGCATAGCATAGCGCAGCGCAGCACAGCACAGCACAGCATAGCACAGCGCAGCATAGCATAGCATAGCAGAGCCTAGCATAGCATAGCATAGCGCAGCTTAGCATAGCATTGCATAGCACAGCTTAGCATAGCACAGCGCATCATGACATAGCATAGCTTAGCATAGCATAGCATAGCATAACATAACGCATCATAGCATAGCAGAGCATAGCGCAGCATAGCATGGCATAGCATAGCATAGCATAGCATAGCATAGCAACTAATGCTGCTTATTCGGCGTTATTGCGAGAGACAGTTTGAAATGACCCGCCATCCATCTGTGAACCTGTTGCAAATTTCAAGCTTCAGGATCATACATGGTGATGTAGTCTCAGGCGAAACGCCCATCCCGCCATGCTGACACGTCTGGCGGTGCGACAGGGAGGAGGTATTCCCCAAACAGTGGTTGCACTTAGGGTATCTCATTCGGTTTTTGAAGATATGGGCCTACTCGTCGTTCTGGCGGCTATGTGGTCGCCGTCGCCGCGTCGTGGCCGCCCGTCGTCTGGGCCTGCGCGTCGGGTCCGCCGCTTGTGGTTACCATCGTCGCACCATCGCCGCCCGCCGCCTGGTCTCCGCATTGCTTTGCATTGTTCTGAGTTGCTCCGCATTGCTCTGCATTGCTTTGCGTCACCTCGCATTGCTTGGCGCTATTGTACACTGCATTGCATTAATTTGCATTGTATGATTCGCGTTGCTTGACACTACTTTAAATTAAGTTGCACTGCTTTCCACTGCTTTGTTTATGTTTGTTACGTTTCATTGGTTCGCATTGTTTTGTTTTGGTTTTCATTGTTTCGCATTGTTTGGCATTGGTATTAATTGCTTTGTAGTGCTTCGAATTGCGTTGCGTTATTTTGTACTGGTTTGCGTTGTTTTGCAATGTCTTGTTTTGCATTGCTTGCTTTGCGCTGCTTTGCTTTGCATTCTTGTTGCACCACATGGACTGCACGGCCTAGATTGCACCACATTGATTGCCCTACCTAGATTGCGCCGCGTAGACTGCAAAAAAAGAACACTGTTGGAGGCCCACCCTGGCTCACACGTATATCGGCGGCGGGCGCGGGGGGGAAATGAGAAGGGGCGGGACTTCCGAGGCTTCTGAGAAGTTTCCGGACTTCTGAGAGGGCTTCTGAGAAGTTCTGTCTGTATTCGAAATAGGCTAAGGAGACCTCTCAGAAGCCCCCCGGACTTCTAAGAAGTCCCGCGGCCTTCTGAGAAGGCCTTCTCCTTCTCATTTCCCCCCTGGGCTCGTCGCCTAGTATAAGGAAATGGATAGAGGAGAGGCCCTGCGACCTCGAGGTCGACAGCTACGTCGAGCACATCGGGGGGAGCGGAAGGCCTGGCTCGTCTGCCCGCCCGCGCCCGCCCCCCCCCCCGTCCCACAGTCTCCCAATCTGGCCGAAGCGGGAGTCGCGGCGATCCTGTTTCCTGCACGTTCGCCAATCCAGGCTCGCCTGAGGGGTCCGTTGTGCAGAACTCAGCGGGTGTTCAGGCGCCTGAGCGAGGCGGCCCTCGGCGTGGCCCAGTTCCAGTGTCTTGGGTCCTTTGCTCCCGTACCTCCCTGGGCTTCCCGGTCCTTCCTCGGTTCCCCCGTCTCCAAGGGCGCCCTCGAGGGCGCGAAGTTATTCGCGCTTCGCGCTTCGCGGTTCGGCTCCGATTCCTCCTCGTCCTCCTCTTCTCCCCTGGGAGGCGGCGCGAGAGGGCGAAGTTATTCGCACTTCGCGCTTCGCGCAGCGCGAAGCGCGAAGTTGGGAGCCCTTACGTCTCGGTAGCATTGAGGCGGGGGTCAATGCAAACGGGGGTCCGCCAGAGCGCGGATCTTGCAGGATTCTGCAGAGCCAGGGCTGCACTGACCGGGGCCTGGTGCGCAGGATTCTGCAGGATTTTGCAGGATCCTGTGAAGCCCGATTGACCCAGTTTTGCATTGCTTCGGGTCAGTAGAAGAAAGAGGGTCTTTCTCCATGCGTTCCTCGGAGTCCCCGGTCGTGTTCTTTGGGTTGCCCGGTCTTGTTTCCTGGGGTCTCTGATCCTTGCAGTGCCCAACATTGTCCAGCAGCGCTAATGAATGCCAAGCAAAGCCAAGCGATGCACAGCAATGCCAAGCGACGCCTCCAAACAATGCCAGCCAGCGCCAAACAGTGCAAAATAGTGCCAAGTAATGGCGACCGACGCCAAGCAATGCAAAGCAACGATTCCAAGCAACGCCAAGTAATGAGTACCAAACAATGTAGTTTGCATGGCTCGGAACTGCTTTGAATTGCACTGGAAGAAACAAGACCCCCCATGGGGATCGCGGTGTGCCCATGTTCCCCATCCTCCGAGCGGGGGGCCCCCTTCCCCCCGAGTAACAGACTGCTCCCTCCTTCTTGTCTTCCCCTCCGAGCGATGGTCCCTCCTCCTCCCCCTCCTCCTCCCCCTCCCCCTCCCCTCCTCCTCCTCCTCCTCCTCCTCCTCCTCCTCCTCCTCCTCCTCCTCCTCCTCCTCCTCCTCCTCCTCCTCCTCCTCCTCCTCCCCACCCCGTGAAAACAAGATCCGTGAGCGGCCTCAGCTGGAGGGCTGCGCCTCCCCTCGCCCTCCCCCGGGGGGACGGGTCGCGGGCGGGCGGGCCGGCGGGCTTTTTGGGGGCCGGGGCCAGGCTTCTGCTCGCCGCGGCAGGCCCGCCCTCTCGGGCTCGGGCCTCGCCGCAGGCGGGCCTCCGGTCGCAGGCCTCGAGCCTCGGGGTTGACACCAGCACCACCATCGGGGAGGGGGAGGGGGAGGGGGAGGGGGAGGAGGAGGAGGAGGAGGAGGAGGAGGAGGAGGAGGAGGAGGAGGAGGAGGAGGAGGAGGAGGAGGAAGGAGGATCCCGATCTCGGTGGTGGTGGTAATGTGCTGGCCTCCAAGGGGACCGAACCATTGCCACCAGCACCGAAGTCTAGGAGCATCTTCCCCCGGTGGAGGCTGACCCCCCCCCCTGTGTTGGTGTTGGTGCCAAGTTCCAGGCCTCCAATCCTGGCCTCCCACCCAGTGTCGTGGCACCCACGTCGCAGAGCGGATTTCTTTCGGGAAACGACAGGATGGGCCCGGAGTGTCCTGGAGAAGTTCGTTCCGGGTTTCGAGGTGAGCTTCGTGCGTTTTTTTTTGTTGGCCAGGGATGAAGACTAAAACAAATCCACGCGCAATTCATGCCGTTTTTCACTCGCCGTTTCGGGGTTTTGCATGGACAGAAATCCACGCACAAATCCGCTGCAGCACGTCTGCAAGGGTGGCGCGCCTACAGTCTTACCCATCGGTCGTTGAAAGTAAGTATTTTGGGACTCCCAGTGCCCAGTCTACTTTAGCCGCCTTCCTATTTCAAGAGCCGAGTGGGTTTCCCTCCTCCCTCCTCTACAGGAGGCGGGCGGAGACCCAATCTACTTCCGACGCAGTCCTGCTTCATGGTTCTACCTACTTCTCACCGATGGGTACTCCATTTGTGCTTCGCGCGTGAGTCCACGCCTGCCGTTCGGCGAGCAGAAGTCAGAGCGCCCCGCCCGCTCCCCTGGCATACTCCGCGAGACGCAGCAGCTGGCCGCCGAGGAGGTCGTCCTGCGGGCGGACGGCACGTGGAGCGTGGCCGAGGCGAGCCCCTGACCCAAGGGCGCCCTCGAGGGCGTGAAGTTATTCGCGCTTCGCGCTTCGCGGTTCGGCTCCGATTCCTCCTCGTCCTCCTCCTCTCCCCTGGGAGGCGGCGCGAGAGGGCGAAGTTATTCGCACTTCGCGCTTCGCGCAGCGCGAAGCGCGAAGTTGGGAGCCCTTATTGAGATCCGGGCGCTCTCGCCCAGGCTCGGGCCCCAGAATCGGGGGCGGAAAAGAGGGGGGGATGACTAGGGGGGGTTGGGAGTGGGCTGTGATATTTCCCCAGATTTCATGGCGCCTCTTCTTCTTCTTTCATTACGTCCCTGGCCCCCCCGCTGGGCCGCGCACATGCCGCCGGTCATGATTTGCACCTCCCCCTCTTGGACACCCCCCTCTTGGCCGCTCCCGACAGAACCATCACGGATCGATCTGGCTCGAAACGTGAAGCAGAAAGATGGGGCGTACAGGGCTCCACATCGCGAATTTCCGCCACGTGCTCTTCCGCAGCGTCGGATCTCAGGGGGCGCGTTTTTGTCGGGGGTGGACAGAACCCCCAACAGTGACACGTCGATTAGTGAATTGTCCGTGTTCGGTTCCCGAGAGGGCGCCGCGGCCGTCATTTTCCAGGCCTGCGCCCGCCAGCTTTGGGCCTCAGGTCGTTTTCACAAAACCACGTTTTACTAAAGGGAGGTCTGTCCATCCCCGATTTTGGCTCTGGCATTGGAGGGTTTGGGGGCGTCCCGCGGGGAGCAGCAGGAGCATGGAGGGGGGGAGGCCTGGCAGGCCCAGGACGAGGGCGGAAGTCGCTCCCTTAGCGTGGCGGAACGGTCGCCGAGACGGCCGTGGCCCGGTCTCGAAGAGCACCGCTTCTTCGGAATCGTGGGGGGGGGCGGAGAGGGGAGAGGAGGAGGAGGACGAGGAGGAGGGGGAGGAGGACGAGGAGGAGGAGGAGGACGAGGAGGAGGAGGAGGAGGAGGAGGAGGAGGAGGAGGAGGAGGAGGAGGAGGAGGATGAGGAGGAGGAGGAGGAGGAGGAGGAGGAGGAGGAGGAGGAGGAGGGTCGTTTTGGTAGGACCGCCTGCCCCTGCGCTCATGCTGCTACCGCTGACAGCGCAGCCGACAGCGCTGGGTGCGCGAAGCTATTCTCCTACGAAGTTGTCCTGCTGGCGTCGGACTCTAACCGCAATGTCGTTTGATAGCGGTCGTTCCTGGCAACCTCGGCCAGTGTACCGTTCCCCTGCCATCCACAGTCAAGTCGCATAGTAAGGATGAGCGATTTTCCAAGGCTACCCTTTCATCCTTGACCCTTCGGCTCATCATTGGCCGCTTTCGCTGGTAAACCCCGTTCGAACACGCCAACATGGCCTTCCAAGGCCCTTGTATCCTTACAGCGCATCCTTGTTATGCGACTTGACTGCACAGTGGAGATCCATGCCAAGAAACACCTTGCTTGCTTCCAGGGTGCCCTGGGTGTCTTGGGTGTTGATGGTTTCGCGATGGAAGGCGCGACGTTCCCACGCCAAAAATCCATGGACGTCCTGGGGTCTCAGGGTTGGGTGTCTTCGTGGAAGGTTTCTCGTGGGCTAGCCTCAGCTGTACCCTGCGGCTGCAACGCACTCTGGTGCAACGTGCACTTTGTCTGGTTGCATTGCTTCTGTTAGTCGTAGGTCCGCAGGGGGCACGTTGGCCATGAAGCGGAGATTGATTTGGCCAGGAGCTCCATAAAAGGCACTTGCCCAGTGTGCCCAGTAAGCTTCGCCACTATCGCAAACATGCCGACACAACCCCACTGCATGCATATACGACGCGCCCCAGCGTCGTTCCCACGATTCGCACTCCCCGCTCTTCTGGTGGGTTGATCGTTATCCAACAGCTCGACCACACGTGTGCGGGGCACGGCCTGATAATTCTGCTTCAGCTTACGTACAAGCTTCTCCACGCCAATGTCGGTATGGAAACCATCACATAGTTTGTAGCATTTCGCGTTTTTGCTAAAATCAGTGTTGCCTGACCCAGGGCACATACCAAGTGGATAATGTCATGCGGCCCGGTTCGAAGCACATTTCGATCCGATCCGATTCCTCGACTCGATACTGACTTAAATTGCCAACATATGGGGTTACCTGGCGTCGCCTTCCCAGCTGTATTCAGATCAGATGCCGATCCACTGACGGACAGGACAGAACAGGAAAAGACCGCGCCTAGGCGGCGCATCGGCAGATGATTCGGCAGCCCGTAATGTACATGTGCGGTGGCGCGCAAGAGTATGCAAATGAACAGCTGCGTAGTGCCTCGGATAGGTCGTTGTATTATTTGTGCCAACGAAGTGCGAGGGACATTTGCGCGGCGTTCCGGAAAAGGCGGAGGGAGGGAGGGAGGGAGGGAGGGACCTTGGGAACGAGACAAATTAGGTAGGAAATGTATCTAAACCAGCTCAAAGGACCAACAGGAGGCGCAAAGGCGAACACGGTTAGAAGCTATAATGTCTGTGTGTATTGATCAATTGCAGTTTACTTTGTGTGGGGAGCGCAACTAATACTGCAAACGTTCCAGATCGTCCTCCGCCACTGAAAATACGCATGCTTCCAACATTCGTGTTTTCTTCTACGGGCTGACATTTGCATGATTCCAGGGTGCGCAGCTGTTGGAAGGTGCCCTTCGTTTCCCCAAGCGGCTTTGTAAGTTCAGCGCGTGGGTTCCCATCGGAATTTAGAAGCCCGATTGCATGATCTTTGTTTGCATCGGATCTCTTCACCTCCAGGCTCATATAGCAGCGTCTGAGCGAATCCTCTTTCAAATCGTTTGTCTTTCGTTCAATTCCAACCAAAGTCTTTTCCCAGCGGTCGCCACGATATCCAGATGTCGTTGTAATGCGTCATGCTTGTCCGCGAGAACCATCGTGTCGTCGGTATACAAATGTCCTTCATGATGAGATAGCTCGTGTTGCACGTTTCGGCGTTGAGCTCGTTGGCAACGGCTTCCGTATGAAAATATATGGTAACGCCAGCATTTGGCGAACGCTGTGAAGATGTGTGATGCCCTTCTCTTCAACAAATGTCCGCGCAATCATAGCCTCCGGGATGTGGAAATGACGTAGTGTGTGCAGCAGCCCGTCGAGCTCAATTCGATCGAACCTCGTATGTGTCAAGTGTTGCGTCAATGAGGCGGCGCGTCAGAAACAAAGCGTCGGAAGTGCCCCTCTTAGGTCAAACATCGTATTAGGATTCCCCGAGTCGTGTCTGAACGCCCCTGATTTTGAGGCGATGCAAAATAATTCTTGCAAGCACGTTGTATCAAATTGCCAGTAAACAGATGGGCCTGTAGTTGCTCGGCTTTGACGTGTCCCCTTATTTGCAAACCGTTACAATAAACATTTCCCGCAATGGTTCATGAATTTCTTTATGATTCCAACCAGTGATCACGTAGATTATGCAAGGCCGCATTTTTGTCCAGCGTATTTCCTCGGATTGCGCTGCGTTGTTCCTTTGATGGACGAAGGGTGATTATTTGGATTATGCCGCACCGCCGACTTTTTGAGGGAGAGCCGCTGTTGTTGCTTTTGAGTGTTGCGTGACTTATGCTTGTATTTAGATCGAAGACGCCTACGGCGAATCATAGCCGCTCCCTGCCTTTCTGGAAGCGACTGCGTGGCCGAAAATTAGGTTTGAGCTTGGCCAAGCTATCGGGCCACGTGTTCCCCGAGTGGGTTTCGAAAGCTTTCGGGGAATACGGAGTCGGGCGAGCTATCAGACCAGGTGGTTTCCGAGGTTTGGGGCCTCCTGGAAAACGTTTTGGAGGGGTTTGGGGCCGTGTTGGAGGCCTTTGGCGGGCTTTTTGGGCAGTCTGGGGCCATCTTCCGGCCATTTGGGGTCGTTTTGGGTGCCTCTTGGGGCAATTTTCGTTGTCTTTGAGGGCTTTTTGGCCGTCTTGGTGGCATCTTGGAGGCCATCTTGGCCGTCTTGGAGGTCATCTTGGGCATCTTGGGGGCTTATTGGGCCGTTTTGGAGTCTTCTTGGGGCCCTCTTGGGGGCCTTTTGTTTTGTTATGGAGCCATTTGGGAGGCCTTTCTCGGACTAGTTTCAGCGTGTCCCCGGTTCCGTTCGGTTCGTTTCGGTTGGGGGGAAATTAGTTTGGTTCAGTACGGTTTTGGTTTCGGAGTTATTCGAGGCGGTTCCCGTTCAGAGGGCGGTTCCGTTTCAGCCGGTTCCATTTCGGTTCTCGGTTTTTGCAGATGACGTGTGCGCGTGTGCGTCTACATGATCATATGAAGGCGTTTGGAGGTTCAGTTCAATCAGGAGTCAGGAGGAGCCTTGGGGCCAGGGGAGCCACTGGGCCCAGCTACCCGACGAGCCAGGGAAGCCATTGGGCGCAGACGTTATGCATGGTGCCCTCGACGGACCAGTCGACAGCGTCGTGCCCCCTGGACCAAGAGGCTCTGGCGACAGCGGGCGATTCCTCAGCGCCAGGATAGAAAACGCTTGGATTACGGTCTGGGACGGCACGGACCGCTCAATCTTGGCATGGGTCTTCCCAAAAGACAATTGGGAAGGCAAGGGTGCTACTCGCGCCCTCACCGGGAGCGCGCAGGATGGTGGGGGCCCAGCCCTGGTCGCAGCCACCAGTTTGGCCTTGGAGCCCCGAGGACCCGTGGAAGCCCAAAGCGCATTCTCCAACCGTTCAAAAATGCAATTTGAGTTTTTCCGCCGCCCGTCCGTCCCCAATGCAGCCCTGCAGGCCGCGGAAATCATTTGGAGGCCCAATTTCGAATCGTCCAAACATGCAATTTGAGCTTTTCCGCCGCCCTGCCATTCCAGAACAAGTTTGGATTCTCCGAAAACCACTTGGGGGCCCAAATCGCATTTTCGAACCGTCCAACAATTCGATTCGAGCTTTTCCGCCGCCCTTCCGCCCTCAGTTCGGCCCTGGACAAGCAGCAAAACAGGATGGGGGAATTCGAGAGGCAAGGGAGGAGTTGGGGGCAGGTGGGATGGACCAAACGCGAGTGGGCGCTCGCATCGGGCAGTTCCCCAGGGTCCACCTCCACGACCGGTTCCCCGTTTCGTTCCACTGTTTCCGCCTCGGTTTGGTTTCGGCCCACGTCGGGTTTCTGATGAGTTCCGGTTCCGTGGGGTCTTCATCGGTCGATTCGATTGCGCGTTTCATTGTAGTTTGGGGATTTTTTAGGCCGTCTTAGGCGATCGGAGCGCTAAAATTTAAGAGAAAACAAAAGAAAATCAAACATGTTCGGAAAAAAATACAGATATTAGCTCCCTCAGGCCTTCTTGGACTACCTTTTAGCTCTGGAACAACATTGGATGTTTTCGGGCCCATCTTATGTTGGCTCACTTGGCGGCCATCTTGGCTAGATTGAAGATCAATTTGACTGTCTTAGGGGCCAACTTGACCGTCTTGGAGTCCATCTTGGGCGTCTTGAGGCCTTTGGAGTTGTTTTGGCGTTCTTTTGGCGCCGGTTTGGTGCCTCTTAGTGCCGTCGTTGAGCCATCTTTGAGGTTTTACAGCGTTTTGGGTGCGATCTTTTGGTTTCCTTGGCCCGTCGTGAGCCAGGCGTCAGAAGGCTTGAAAAGAACATCATTTTTTCCCGGAGGAAAACATTGATTTTGACTTCTGTTCTCGTGGACGTCTTGGGGGTCTGTTGGAGCCCTCTGGGGCTGTCTTGGGCAGTGTCAGAAGTCTCTTATGCAAACTTGCATTTGGTATCTTCCTGTTAGGAGCCATCGTGCACCATTTTGGGCGAGTTTGGGCACCAAAACTTCAACTTGGTTCATAATAATTTTTGTAGTCGCCCATATTCTCTGTATTTCTTTTATTCATGTTATGTTGCGGTACTTTGGGTTCCGTATTTTGCTTGACGCCCAAACGCACCAAAAAATTATATCATATGCCGATTCAATCTTGAAGCGCGGAAAAAATAACATTCTGAAATTAGACGAAACACAAAACATATGAGCAAATAATTGATATCTTAAATACTACCGCGGCAACATTAGGAACGTATAACAAATGTATTTATTTTAGCGTGACATGGAACATATAATTTGCCGATTACAGTCGTGTAGTTTCGGCGATCTAAACAGATCTTTATCTGGGTATACATGAATCTTTTAATATGAATAATCATGCATTTGGAGGATGAAATGTTTAAAGAGATCACAAACACGAAAACAATCAACAAAGAAATTGCTGGGTTTGACTATTCAGATGAAATCACCTAGATATTTTCTCGACGCAGGAAATTCTGTTAATGGAAATCTTCGAACTGCTATTGCAATTCGTCTTGATATTCTTGGAAAATCAATATAATTGCGAATGAAAGCTGCGATTCTTTAAATTGATATGATAGATTGTAGTGTCACTATGGAACCGGAACCAAGAAGAGCAACACCAAATTCTAGACGCTTCGCGTATCCCCACCAGCCCGTCCAGAAACGACGCCCAGGCGAGTAGAGGGTTGTCCTAAGAGGTTTTTCGGCGTCTTAGGTGCCTCGGGGGGGCCTCTGTGGGCCGTTCGGGATCCTCTTTGGGGCCTCCTGGGAACCTCTTGGGACCATCTTGGGGCCTTTGGAGGCCTCCTGGGCGCTTCTTGGGGCAATCTTTGCCCCCTCAGGAAGCCAAAATGGGGCCAAAATCTCAGTAAAGTCAATGATTTTGGCTTCCTCGCCGAGGCCGTTTTGGACGCTCTGACTGCTCGCGGCCCCGCCCCTCCAGGTCCACGGGGAGGGGGTAGGGGGAGGGGTAAACCCATCCCCGAAGGGAAAGAGAGAGAGGTGGAAGAGGAAACGCCTTAAACCACCGACGCCCAGAGGGCTGGTGGGATTGCCTCGATCAGGGAAGCCAGTATGAGACATCTTGGGATTTCTTGAGCCATCTTGGAGGTAATTTTGGGCTCTCCGAGGCGCTCTTGGAGTCATCTTAATCAGTGCCCCCTCCCGAGAGGCCAACATGTGGCCAAAACTTTAGTGCAAACAATGCTTTGACATTATCGCCGAGGCCTCTGGGAGCACCTTCGGTGCCTCTGGGGTGTCTCTTGGGGCCTCTTAGGGCCTCTTGGGGGTCTCTTGGGGGCCTCCTGGGGGCCTCTTGGGGGACCTCTTGGGGCCATCTTGAGGCCATCTTGCGGCCTCTTGGGGCATCCTGGGGGCCTCTTGCGGCCATCGTCGAGAAAATCTATCAAAGAAGAGGGGAGCTTTAATTAGCGCTGCCCCC